CCCCCCCCCCCCTTCGGCAAAAGCACACTCTTGTTGTATTGAAATGCAAAGTGGTGAAGTTGGCAGCTTGTGACCACTGTCGCCTTGTTGGAATTGTGAAAGCTGAATTATTTTCCACGATCGCAGTTTTCCCTTTTTCTGTCGCAACTCTAGGCACGATCGGGAACTCGTCCAGGCTCTCTGATCGGATCTGGAGGCTCTCTGATCGGATGTCGATGGCGACTTGTCAATGTAGCCTCTCTGGAGATCGGCTGAACACCGTCGACGACATCGATGTCACACCTACCTACCTGGAGGAGGGGGGTGAGACGGCATTCTGGCTACTTCCCAGGCTTTAATCAGTTGTCGGTTGTAACCTCTGGGGGACCATGTTACGTCGCGATATCCCAAACATCAAGCTTCGGTATGCCGTGCGATTTTCGTACTCGTGGTTTTCAGATAGCAAAGCGGTTCCGGCATCTGCGCTGCCTTGCCGAACTGCTCGGAGTAGCTTCTCTCTCGCGTTTCGTACCCCCATAATCGTATATGCGGTCATGTTGACAAGACCTAGGTTACGGCGGAGTCGCATTGACAAGTCCACTCGCTTGTGTTGTTTCACAATAGCCTGGGAGGAGGGCAGTGTTTGGAGGAAGGGAGAGGAGGGGGGGAGTAGTGGAATGAGTTGAGCACAGACATGGACGGGTAGAGGCAAAGATTACGCATGCCCACGCGCACACGCCCACTCGTTTGTGGCGAGCAAGCGCTCATAGCGGGCGGTCCGCATCTGTGATATCCGGAACATCGGGAGACGTTGGTTGGGAAGGTTTCTGGCGCAAAGGAGGGGTGACGAAACAAACAGGTCGGTGCTGTGCTGGAAGAAGGCAATTGTAAAGAGAGACAAAAAAGGGATCGACAGATTCGAACACGGCATTTTGCCTGCTGTTTCTAGGAAAGAGAAACGCTGCCTTTTCAGAAGGGAGGAGGAAAAGAGGATGCTGCCTTGTGTGAGGAATTTTGTATAGTAATTGAGAAGAAAGGTGGGAGCATTGATCAGCTTTCTGTGTGAGCGACTCCGAGAGAAAAAATACGACTTGCAGATGCGACATGTCTGCGAAAGCGCAAATTTGATAGTTTTTTTTTTTTTTTTTTTTTTTTTTTGTGGAAATTTGATAGTTCTGGTTGCTGGGTGTTCAGAGGATCAACATGTTTATGTCCCCAGTGTGAGTGAGGTGAACCTGTTCTGCGTTGTGTGCATTGTTCGTCTGTTTATTTCATCTGAGTCTCATGCATGGGCTTTCAAACACGTTGCGCAAGTCGGTATGTGATGACCAAATCGATGGACCTTGCATGCCCGTCGTTGACTTCCGTAAACAGACAGCAGCAGGTTTTCCTTCTCCAGTTACTCTCTCGTCTTCTGGGAAATGTCACAAATGTCTCCTCTTCGTCGACTTCCCGTTGACCTTGCCTCACGGTGCGGTTCTGTTTGATATAGCACACAAATGTCACAAAATGAGTATCTTGAGAGCTTGGCACTGTTGGCAGGGCTTGAAGACTGTTTTTTTTTTTTTTTTTTTTTTTTGAAAAGACCAGCCTTCGGCTGGTAGGAGGGGTGATGAGAGCAGCCCCAGCTACTAGGCCAACACTGGACGCTCCTTTCTATTGGTGGGGACACTAGGGAGCTTCACCTGCTGGAAACAGGCTCCAGCGTCCCTTTGAAAACAAATGAGACCTTAAATTTTTAATTGGAAACCATACAAACGGTCTCCTCTTCTCGTCTTCTTCTTCTTCTTCTTTTTTTTTTTTTTTTTTTTTTTTTCTGAAGTTGTGACTTTCTTCTATTTATATCCTCGACGAAGCAGAAACTTAACATGTAGACTTCTTTTGATGTTTGACAAAAAGCAGCAGCAACAGAACATGTAGTAGACGTCTTTGAGGTTTGAAAAGAGCGTTGCCAAAGCAAACAGAGTTTTACTGGGACGGTGCGGGACCCTTGTTGTGGTGGTGTGCAGCTAAAACAACTATGCACGCCCAAGGTATTGTTTGCAGCAATTGGCATTATCGAGAACGTACAAGTCGAGCACAGTTTGCTCTCTCTCTCTCGCTAAGATTGTACCAGGCATAATCTTGTTTTTGACAACTTTTTGTACTTGTTTAATTTAATCAAAGCTTGCAATGTCTATGAATGAGTGATGAAAACGCTGGTAGCCAGTGGTAGGTACATGATGCCACTGTGCACTGCCAGGTGTGCAGTTTCAGTCATATAGAGAGTGGCATTACTACCCCCCCCCCCCCTATTTGGTAAGCTACACTACCAAACGACAGGATCCCCACTGATGACACACAGTCAGTCAACAGATCGACCAAGGAATGTGATAGGCTATGAGGCTAGGCTTCTTTTTTCTTTTTTTTTTTGATGCAGGGGCCGTGCTAATCTTCTCTGTCTCGTTTCAATTTTAACGGATGTCCTGGAGGACATGATAGGCACCACATTGTGCAGTGGTGTTTTTTTTTTTGTTTTTTTTGTTTTTTTGTCATGGGAAATGATGGCTTGTTCTTCCGCTGAAGTCTGTTGCAAGAAGTGAATCTTGAGTCAGTACCTGGTCGACAACAAGGCTGTTTATGCATCTGAGGGTGAACGTAGAAATTGTCTAATTCCCGACAATCATTCACAGACAATGCCTTTTTTTTTTTTTTTTTATAGAAAACCACCAGTCCCCCCGCCGCCGAAAACCCCCGTCCCTGTGAGTTAGGGCCGGGTTGTACGGAGGGTCGGCGACCGTTCGTCACCAGCGGGTCCAATCCCGCCATTTTCAAGCGTCAACTTTGCCGATTTTTTGTGCTCAGAAGAATTCATCAAAATGTCTGAAAATTTGAGAGTCCGTAGATTAGGTCGTGATCTTTCGAGGAAAAATATCAGGGGAAAAAAAAAATAAAGAAAATCGTTTTGACCGTGAAATATTCGCCGCGCCGATTCGGTGCATTTATGATTTTTGCCTCAAATTCCATTTTTGAGGCCCGCCCGGTTTTCCACTCTGTACTACCGGTATCCGTTGTGAAAGGGCGTTACCGGTAACCCCAAGGTTTCTGACGTCAGGGGGACTGGTGGTTCTGTGTGTAGCTTTGTTTTTGTCTTTGCCAAAGGTGATGTTCATGTGGTTTAGTAGGCATTATTCTTTCTTGCTGATTAAAGCAATATTAATCAAGTTTGCGCATTTGGAGAACAAATTTAACACCATGTCTTCTCACTTGGTTGTGAGTGGTCCTTTGTCCCACCTGCGCAGGCTGGGCCCTTTGTCCCACCTGTACAGGCTGGGCCCTTTGTCCCACCCACCTGCACAGGCTGGGCCCTTTGTACCGCCCACCTGCACAGGCTGGGTCTTTTGTCCCACCCACCTGCACAGGCCCGGCTGGGCCCTTTGTACCGCCCACCTGCACAGGCTGGGCCCTTTGTCCCGCCCACCTGCACAGGCGGGACCATGCACAGATCCTGTACTCACATTAGGCCCAGACTGTGCAGGCGGGACAAAGGGCCACTCGCTTGCTTGGCATATATAGCTACCATCTTCCCCCGAATAGAAGGAACGGTCATTATAGCCGTATTTGGCGTACCTTAGAGTCCAGATGCAGCAAAAATTACCGTACGTTTTATTCAGGGGAGGAAGGTAGTCTGTCTTCCTGTTTTCATCCCCTCTTGTTTTTCGCTTTGTTTTTCTTTTTCACTATTTTCTTGTCTTCTCTTTTTTGGGGGGGGGTTGGGGGTGGGTGATTTAGGGGGGGCGAGGGACCAGATATTGGCAGGGATTTTTCGAATCCCGACTTCTGTACCCGCTGGCATTTTAGGGCACCTTTGTATGCTGGAGGAGCGAATGGAGGGAAGAACAGCTGCTGTGATAATCTTTTTTTCTCCCTTTAAAAGGAAAAAGGTGTGTCCAACACACACACACACACACACACACACACACACACACACACACACACACAGAGAGAGAGAGAGAGAGAGTAGGCATACTTGGTTTTGATGTTTTCCCAACTTAAGACAATTTTCATATTCATCCCTCACGGAGACTGGATTGCAAGCAAATCAAGTTTGGACGAAGCGCGTTTGATCGAGCTTACATTGGAGAATCAGACCAACACACACACGAACAAGAGAAAATTCCAAATTGTGGTTTATCTTCATATTTTTTCTTGTTCGCGGTCTTTATTACGGGGGTTATGCCAGTCCACGAGAATTAGTGTGGTGTCTTGGAGAACCTATTCTGAAGTCAAACGTGCTTGCTTCTTTTATATCAATATATTGAATTAAGTCGGCTGGCAGATACTTTGTGGGTTGTATAAGAAGACCGCGTCAAAGATCGAAGAATATGTTCTCCGTGACGACTGATTCACAAATGCTTTTCAACTTCGATCTTTGACGCAGCCATAGCGTCCAGAGCAGCCCACGACAAATGGGAGTGAGGACATACTCAACGCAAGGGAGCAAGGGAGCTTTTTGACAAAGCTCTGGCTGATCTGGACGTGATTTCTGTCAGATTCATCCAGGTCTGGTTGCTGGTTGTCATCGCAATTTGCAAGCAGACGCAGTGTCGAAAATGATAGTTCCGCATATTTCCAGTGGAATCTGGTGAATAGATATGCGGAACGTCACTATTCACTAGAATTTGGCAGACTGTCACTATTCACTAGAATTCGCATACTCGAACTATCACTTTTGATTAACAAGATGCACTAGAATTTGCCAGACTGTCAGATTACACTGGAAATATGTGGAATGTCAATATTCACTAGAATTTCCCAGGCGTACTCGAACTATCACTTGTCTCTACCAGACTATCATTCAATTCTAGTGAATATATGACATTCCGCATATTTCTAGTGAATAGTGTAACCTCCGGTATCCCTAGAAATCCTCACTAGAAGGAGGCGGTTAGTTGTTCCGGCCCAATCCTCAGCCTGAACGACCGGGGACCCTCAGCCTACCGACACCCCGACCCTCAGCCTACCAGTATCCCGAAGGTTGCCGAGCCTCGAACTACCGAAGGTACACATAAAAAAAAATGAAAAAGAGAGGGGGAGGGGTGGGAAAGAAAATGTAAAAAAAAAAAGAAAAAAAAAGAGGAGGCATTCTTCTATATAAAAGAAGAAAGCAACAAAGAAAACCAAAAGCACCCGGTTTCTCTTAGTGTGCAAGGGGGAGAGAGAGAGAGAGCTATCTTTGTAGAGAGTGTCAGAGACTCTCACTGCAGCCAAAAAACACAACAACCAAAAAGTCTCACTGCAACCACGGTCAAGGATGCTCCTGAGAAGATTCCCGATTCCCCTCACGTCGGTCAAAGCTCTCTCTCTCTCTCTCTCTCTCTCTCTCTCTCTCTCTCTCTCTCTCTCTCTCTCTCTCTCTCTGTGTGTGTGTGTGTGTGTGTGTGTGTGTGTGCGCCATACATTTTGGTATCGTGCAAAATGAGAACGAACCTTCCACGGAATGCGGGAAGATTCATTCCAATTTACCAAATTCTGAGCCACGCACGTGGTTTTAAATGTCGAAAATGGGATTCCCAAGGAGAGGGGAAGATTCATTTTCATTGGCACTAGCCGCCACGCGCGGACACACACACACACACACACACACACACAGAGAGAGAGAGAGAGAGAGAGAGAGAGAGAGAGAGAGAGAGAGAGAGACCTGGTGTGCCAGGTCTCTCTCTCTCTCTCTCTCTCTCTCTCTCTCTCTCTCTCTCTCTCTCTCTCTCTCTCTCTCTCTCTCTCTCTCTCTACCAAATAGAACAGAATTCACAGCTGCAAGCTGTTCCAAGATTGACTGTGGCATTGATTGCAGCGATAATGACCGTTTGGTGAATTTGGGTGAAGACCGTAACACCAAACTGGCTATTGCCCTGCTGCGCTTGTTGCCAGGCAAGCGCCCATATTGCCCAAGAAAAAAGAAAGGCTACCTTCTTCACCCAAATTGCACCCCCAGGCTGGGAGGACCAGGATTATATGCAAATCCGGCCATCCGTCGCGAGGGGTTAGGATCACTTCATACAGTAGATTAGAGGGGAGACTGGACAAGAAAAAGACAAGAAAAAGGAAAGGCTGCCTTCTTCACCCGTATACAATGTATGGTCAGTGGTCACCATTGCTGTATTTAGACTGAAAAATACTTCGAATACAGATAGAATGACCGTACGTTGTATTCGGGTTGAAGAAGGTCGTATGGAAACTTGTGGAACCAACCCTTGTTAGGTAGTGAGGTACTGAGAGAAAGCGTATAGCTTTTTTATTTCTTTATTTATTCTTATTTAAACAGACAGAAAGAAAGAGTATAGCTTTGTATCTCTTAAACCACTAGTACCTCCGAGCCTATTTTCGACAAGTTCTTGCCAGCTCGACGTTGATCAATCTGATCGGCGGCCGTCGTTTCGTTTCGGCCACCTGAAAGGTCGGAGACCGAGTATTTTTGAACCGACAAAGGTACTAGAAAAGAAAGAAAAAAAAATCATCCCTTAACTTTCCATAGGATTGCTTCATTTCTCTTCGATGGATCTGGGGTTGGGGTTGATTCCCCCCTCCCCACCCTGGTCGATGGCACATTTGCTCCTTTCGTTCGCATGGCTGAGGCCCACAGATCATGCATGTCTGGGCTTCTCTCTCGTGTATGGGAGGGTGGGGAACGTCCTTTTTGCACTGCCCTCATTGAAGGCATATATGCTGCTTCTGCCTGTGCGATGGATGATGCCGATCATTCATTTTCCCTCGCGGATTGGTGATATAATGGGTTCATGTGATTGTGTGGGTGATGAAGTGCATCATCTTGGATTCTCTAGCGCACTTTTTGACTTTCTGACAGGCTGA